GTGTGTGTGTGTGTGTGTGTGTGCGCACAGCTGTCACACTCTGCAGATGAGACAGTTTCCTTGAGTTGCATCATGGAAGATGCTGCAAGTGTTACTGTGTTTTTGTTTAAGCACGTGTGTTTGTGTGTGAATAATTTGTTTATGTACTTAAGCGTTTGCGTGTGTGTGTGTGCGTGTCTGACCTCTAATTTGTGTGTGCTCTACATTTAGTTTGAAAATGTTCAGGACAGCAAGAAAAGAGAAAAGTTTTGAACGTGTGTGAGTGATTGTGCACAAAAAAACAAACTTCTTCCACAAATGAATAAGAGCTGGGGTGCGGGGGAAAGAGAGCGAGCGAGACACGCACCCTTTTATCTTTCACATGTCTATATATAGCAGTTCATGGAGGAGAAGAGTGGAGCAAGATGGAAAGGAGGGAGTGAGGGCAAGATGGCTGAGCAAGAACGGAGATGGAGGAGAGATGTGGAGGGATTCAAGTGTTCAACCTGCTGAGGCCGTCTGCAGGAGCAGAGAGAAGGAGGAAGCAGATGGACGGATAAATGAGAGAGGGAGAGAGAGAGAGAGAGAGAGAGAGAGAAGTTCAGGAAAATTGCAAAATTCAAGGCAACTTTACAATTTTTTAATTTTTAAGAAAAGTTCTACCATTATCTTTTGTTCAGATGATTCATCTTTATAAAAAAACATACTAAGAACATCTTTTCTGATGAAGGTCAACAATCTTCAGCAAATTACAAAACAGCGACTTCACTCGGCGTCATACTTAACTGGAAAAATGGCTCAACATCAAAATCATCAATTAGATTCTCTAAACCCTGTTCTTGTAAAAAAAAAAGACCCTGCAAAACTGCTGGTAGACCCCGTTCTGAACTAGCTCGCTCTCAACGCATTACTAACGGCAGCGTTTCATGAACGCAAGAGACTCAATAAAGGAAGTTATCTGAGAAAATAAGAGGGACCAAACAGAGATGTGATTATTTTCAGTTCTTTCACACACTGATGACGTTTGACTCCATATCTTTGTGTTCCTCGTGTTTCTGTGACGACCTCAGTGGCCTTGTTCAGGCGTGGTGTGTTTGATATGTGGCCACGCCCTGATGTGATGCATCTCTGCACTGAAACCCAGTGTGAGGTGACGTAGGACGCAGGGTGGAGCAGATTGGAGCATCACACGCAGTAGCTGGACAGGGGTGGAGTTACTCGTTAATTCACAGGACAGCATCTTCACCTCTTCGCTCACTGAATCTGTGAAGGTCTAAAACAAACTAATCCTCATTTTGCTTCCGGTCTCAGCGAGTGAATTTACTTTCAGACCCAGCGGAGTCCACATTGCTCTGATCTATGACCGTGTTTCACCTGCTTCCTGCTATTTCTCAGGCAGCAGCAGGGAGGAGGAGGAAGAGGAGAGAGGCAGGGGTGACAACGAGGGTGTGTGGAGGAGGAGGGGAGGGCTGCTTGCGTCACTCCCATAAAGGAACCGACTCTTGCTGAGTCGAGTGCTACACACTTTCATTTATTTGATAAAGCTTCATTTGCTGTGATTTAAAATCTCCCCCTCATCAGGCTCGGCTCCCCTAAAGCACAGCCTCAGCGCCACGCCAAAATGCCTCATCAGCTGAAAACACAAACACACACGCAGACACACACGCACACACACACGCACACACTCACGCACACACTCACAGACAAGCACACCGGTACACAAGGACATTTTTCACAGGATGACTTAGACGGAGGCAGGTTTGAGAAGGTGTGGGTGGTTTTGTGGAGGTTTGGGCTCAGAGTGTGTGGACAGAGGAGGATTCTTTTTTAGTTTATTGTTGCTGCATACATGCAACATAGAGCTGACACGCACCAGGACAGGTAGTGTGAAGGTTGAGCGACCAAATGAAGTTGTGATGCAGCTGTGAATACTTTGAGTTGTGTGATAGTGTCTCTTCAGTGTATGGTGATACTGAGGTGTAGGAGAGATTTTATCTACTGGAACACTTTGCGTTGTTTCAGTGTTTGTGGATTCTTCCTGCGACAGTTTTATAATGAACCAAAATGTTTTTATTCATATTTTATTCCTTCACAATAATGTATAAGGTCTCTAACTCTAACTTTTTGTTTTGTGCATCTGAGAACAAGTGCAGAGCTCGTTTCCTTCTTTAGACAGATTTGCAGGAGGGGCTCAACCATTACGAAACAATCATGTGACTCAATCAGGACAGGTTGAAGGACCAAATCTGTCCCAGGGCCAAACTGGAGTCCAGGGGACCAACGCGGATTCAGTTTCAGCTCTGAGCTTTATAATCACAAATCCTTGGCGTTACAATTTTTAAACAGTCAGTTTAAATTCACCATAATCACACAATTATTATTGTGCACAATCACTTTTAAAATATTCAGCCATTTTGAAATTTTGCCTGAGAATGGAGCATGTGCAAATATCTGTCGCTCTGTAATAGGTTAATGCACCTGTTAGCAGAATCTGTGTGTGTGTGTGTGTGTGTGTGTGTGTGTGTGTGTGTGTGTGTGTGTTCACTCTGTTTGCATACATGCTTTTGTTTGTGTGTTTGTGATTAATTGTTTGCTTTGAGTAGCCGCCTGCAGTGGGAGGAAGAGATAAAGAGTGAAAGGAAGAGGTGTGTGTGTGCGTGTGCACGTCTGCGTGTGTGAGGTCAGTGTATTTGGCAGGGCTTGTTTGCGGCCATCAGAAAGCCATTTTAATTAATGAAAGAGGAACCCGCACATTTTTGCAAAGCTCACCAATATTATTGTTGCCAAAAATTTCTGCTTTCTAATTGTTTTAGATTCACTCTTTCTTTCTTTCTTTCTTTCTTTCTCTCAAAGAAAAACAGAAGTGAGCAGAAATTTTGGAGGTGGCCAAGGAGGGAGGGATGAGGAGGAAGGACATTATGTTGTCGGCTCAAGGAAGAAAGGGATGGGGTGAGGGGGGAAAAGAAGACAGGAAGATAGAATAAAAAGAAGCATAGAAAATGAAAGAAGTAGAGACGTGAGAAAGGAAAATCAATGAAGCTGAAGTAAAAGAGAAAACAAAACAGACACAAAGGGAAATGGAAAATAGACAAAAGAGAGAGAAAGAGGAGAAAAGAGAGAAAGATCCCGACAGATATGGAAAGAGACTGCACACACACACACACACACACACA